TGGCACCCAGGGGTGCTCTCTCTCGGGGTGGCAGGGAGCAGCTGGGCCCAGAGGTGCTGCCCAGCCCCAGTCCTGGCAGGGTGTGCACACACCCACACCCGCCCCAGCTCAGCACCAAGGGCCTGACCATCTCACCAGGCTGAAAAATCCCTGAACCTGCTGTGGGAGCCTCTGTTCTCCTGAATCTGGGTTATCCCAGCATTCATCCACCTCTCCACAAAGAACAGGACTTTCCTGCTTTGAACACCTCACCTCAGAGGGAATCATCTCCTACCACCCAAGGCTGAAAATCCCAGAACCTGCTGTGGGAGCCTCTGCTTTTCCTGTGACCAGGTTATCCCAGCATTTATCCACCTCTCCACAAAGAACAGGAACACTTTGCTGCCTGGAATGCTCCACCCCAGAGGGAATCATTTCCCAACTGGCCTAAAAAAAGGCAAGTTTTCAGTTTTTTGAGTGACATCTTTCTCAAATGATGGAAGGCAATTCAAAGGCAGCAGTATCTTCCCCACAGTTTAAAATCGAAATGAGAGGGTTTTTTTATGAGGAAGTTCTTCCTTCTGCATTCAAATTTGTTCTTTAAAATGCTGCTATTGTTGGGAAGAGAAGAGCATTATCCTAGAGCTGCCAGTCTCACAATCATGACAAACGTGCCATAATGGCAGAACTTTAATTGACAGATTATCTCTGCCATAAAACACACACCGAAGTTTCCTCTCTGCTCTGAGAGGAACTATGAGCAATAAACTCTCAACAACTCCAAACTCATTTCTTTCATCTCAGAAGCTCCTCCAAGTCCTCCCAATTTGACACTCCCAGGCACATCAAGGAGGCTTTTTGCCTTTGTATAAACATTTAAATTGTCTCACGTCCCCCCAGTGCTGCTCTCAGTCAGGACAGAATAAAAGGGTTCTCAAACCTGCTCAGGCCTAGACAGGAAAGATGCTTTTCTGAATTAAACATCAAAATGGAGTTTATCTTGTCATTTATAGGGTCCAAAGCCTGATGAGAGGGTTAAATAACTCCTATTTTTCAGTGGTGTCACACTATAATTACACTCAGCATATTACACATTGTTTTGTTTCTTTTAAGAGTCATAAATCTAAAATTACTCAAGTAGAGGCCCTGATGCCAAGTTTTGGCATGCTTTAGGTGTCCTTGGGGTGTTATTTCCAGTTCAAATGTCTAAAACCCAAGTTAAGCACAGCCTAGATGGGGTTTTCTCCTGGTCAGAGGCTGCAAAAGCTCAAGCAGCTCAGCTTCAGCAGAGCAGAGAAAAATAAAAAAAAAATTGTGGCTAACACTTGTATTTCCTGGAAACGTGGCCCAGTTCCATGTGGTCTTTCTATGAAATCAAGCTGCTGCTCCTCTGCACTCTGCTGTTACCCAGAAAGGAGCTCTGGAGGCCCTGAGGTGATGCAGAAAGGCCAAGCAGGAGCCTCTTTGTACAGGAATCATTCACAAATCTCCTCCTCTGCCTGGGGCTGCCAATGCTCCGGAGCTCCTCCCTGCCAGCCCTACCTGAACTTCCCTCTGGTACTGGCCAGCAGCAGCTCAGCTCACTCAATCCCTGCTCCATTCAGCAGCCCAGGAGGGTTTATCAAGCCCTGGAGCAGCAGGAATGTCCTTGTGCCCCTGCCCTTGGCTCTGTCCCATGGAATCACGGCATCACCCATCTGCCAGCACCGTGGTGCTGCCTCCACCCCATCTCCCCACGGCATTGCCTAATCCCAGCACAAAACTCCCAGCAGCCCAGGCCAAAGCCCAGATTCTAACCAGGTTCTTCACACACATCTGCATGATCCACTAGAAACTCCACCCAAGTGGGCAGCACTCGCTGAATTCCCCACGATGGCCACAAAGCTTAAAAGCTCAGCAGGGGTTTTGTAAGGGCTGGACCAAAGTTGTGTCCCAGACCACAGAGTGTCACAGCCACACACAGCCCAGGTCTGTGGGCTTGATCTGGGACAAGCCACCCAAAAAGAGAGGACTGACGTGAGGTTACAAGCTGTAAGTGGAGCATGGCAGCAGTGAGAGCCCCCACAAATATCCCCACTCCAAACAGAGCAGTGTTCATTTGCAGCACAGAACATTCCCTCTACCTTGCTCAAGGAAAGGCAGGCACGGTTAGAAAAATCCTTCTCTAAAAGCACATTCTCCTATAAAAATCCTCTCCTAAAAGCATGTTCCTCTTTTAAAAATCCTCTCCTAAAGCCATGTTCCTCCTTTAAAAATCCTCTCCTAAAGCCATGTTGCTCCTTTAAAAATCCTCTCCTAAAGCACGTTCCTGCTTTGTCCCCAGCACTTGGGCAAGAGCGTTATGGCACCCCCAACGTTCACAGTCCCTCACAGTGCCTGCTAAGCTGTGGCACAGAGCTGGCACCTCCAAAATCACCAGTTCTGGCTGTGACAGCTGGGAGGAATGAATGGCTGGAGTAAGATCCTGCAGAAAGAGCAGAGGCTCCATTTTTGCTACCATCTGGAGAAGAGCATGTTCACAGTGTCAGCCCCAGCAGCTATGGATGCGTTCACCCCCCGGGAAGTGGGAATTCCCAACAGAATTTTAGGGAAGAGCTATTTGCAGGATGCACCACAAACTGAACAGAAAGGAGACACAACTTTCCCGGCAGGAAACACATCCTGCATCTTTCCCTCTCTTCAGACGCTTGTTTTCAGAGATTTTCCTTGCTACCGTCAGTCACCAAAACACCCCAAAAACGGAGCAATATTTGTTCTGTGAGCAGTTCCCTTCCTATTTGCTCTGGGAGCCTTAAACAAAAATGATCCCGTTTCATCTCCAGTCTTAACGACAAATTCTGGTTTTACTCACAGCCACACCAATACACCAGCTCTCCCCGCACAGAGAGCTGATGTTTGCCTTGCTGATGTTTGGAGCAGGGAGTGGCTGGCAGGGCAGGGGGAGCTGGCATTTCTCACCTAACGTGGCAGCTGCCGCCAGCCCGGCCGCGTAGGGATCCGTCCCCGGAGGCGCCGCGCTGATGATGTAGGGGTTAGGAACGAAGGCAGCAGGAGCTAAACCTGCTGAAAACATTCCTGTCAGTGAAAACAAACTCAACACAACTGCAGCCCCACCACAGCCCCCCTGCTGCTGCCTGGGCAGCACCAAACTCCAGCTGGTTTCGTGGTTTTAGGCTTTTTACGGATGGTTTTCTATAGGGAGTGTCAACATTGTCAGTGTTTATGGGCAGAGATCTGGCATTAAAAAACCCCAACTCCAAGGATTCAATGCTCCTTAAGAGGTAAAATCCTTTATATCCAACAGCTCAGGGCAGACAGACCTGTTCAGGAGACTGGAGCTTGTTACTACTCTGTATTTCCTACAGTGAGTAAATCAGGACTCAAACCACCCCATGCTGAGTTCCGAGCCCACCAGAGGATCCCAGCATCCCAACTGGTCAGTCTGGAAAGGGCTCAGGAGTGGGAAAACATTCTGTCCCTCTGCAAGGGGACAGTTTAATCACTAGAGAAAGCCCAGGTGGGCAGAAGAGGGGTGTGCAGGGGAGGTGAAGGTGAAGGGGAGGAAGTTAAAAAGCTGAATAATTTCAATCCCTGACCTCCACTGAGCACACAAGGACAGAGCACAGAGCTGGGAGAGCCCCAAGACATTTATATTAGCATTTTGGGCAAGAAGAACTACCACAAATTGCTTATTGTGCTGAAAACATTAGTACGTTGTTTCCCTGGTTTTCTACACATGATTAAGTGCTTTATTCCCAGAAAATAAATATATTTGATTAATAAATTCTATTGATATCAATCATGTGTTTGCATAAATTACATTTTTAACTCATAAGACCCCTGGCAGCATATTCGTATTAATGTGATAATTAATTTGTGCATTAAATTGTGATATTAAATTGTGCATTTCCCTTCACTTCACTCTGCTGGCACCCCGACTTATGCTTCACTCAGAGACTTCCAAAGCCTCTCCTGACTGAGCAGCACCCTCAGGAGAGTGAGAATGTCAGTCCTGCCACACAGAGAACTCCTTTAAAGGGCTTCTCAAGTGTGCAATAGACACCCACAAGCAAATCTGTAACAATGCACTTCTGCCCGTGCACTGATTATCAGCTGTGAAATACACTTTAAACCCTCCCAGTCCTTTTCCCCTGGTGTTTTCCCAATGGATGAGGAGGAGGGCAGTGGAATAGGAAGGAGAGGCAGACTCACCTATGTGTGGCTGGTGGGCAGCAGCCAGGGCGTACTGCTGCTGCTGGGCTGCTGTCAGCTGCTGCACTG